GATAAGTCATTAACAGTTTTTCAACCTTGAATATGAACATACGTATATAACATATTAAAACCAAATATCAATAATTAATCTCACACATACAGACATACCTACACACTCACACACATACCATTTGTTATTCAGTTGACTATTTTCATGTTCTTGAATTTTTTCACATGATTTGTGATTAACTGACTCATTTTATCCTGTTTTACAAAAATCAATATCCAAATTTCATTGGTTTGACACATTATAGTTTTGATTGTTAAAAAGTGTTGTGAACAGGGAAATAAGAAGCCCAGACACATATCTATTTTTGTCCCTATTTTATTCTACAGAACATGAGCTTTCGTCCGACGTATCATTCACTGCCATACCTTTTTTGTTCCGAAACTATTGTAATTTAAACATAATATTTTGCACCTTATTTTCTACCCTAATTCTCAGTTCTGAACATAATTGTATTTTCCCAAATTATCGTACGTTGTGGTCAGGATATTCACTTATTTATTCATGTACGTTTATGCACTAATCCGAATTCAGCATTCAGGGTGTTCCAACTGTCTTGTCTTCTCTCGCTTGCGTGCTTGCCAGCCAATCAGATTCTAGAATAGTTTTCTCTTTACCCATCTCGAACTCACGCGTACTAGACTTAAAGTTAAGTCGCTCAGCCTATTGTGTCAAGGTCACAATCTAGACTAGACAGATGAAGGCCAAGTCATAACAAAGTATCGACGGGGTAAAAGCGATTCAAGGTCATAACGAGAAGCTATACATTTCTTTGATGAATTTGACTTTGATTATTACCCTGACGAAGTCCAGGCAAATTAGCTGGACGAAACGTTGGAAGTATATAAAATTCAATAGCCGAGATTATTTCAAATATTACCTCAAATATAATTTTCACATATAATGGCTTCTCTATACTCTGCGCCCAATTTCTTTTAAACTATTCTCTCTAATCTTGACGAATATTCGTATAAAGTATGCCATAGTTCTACACATACACAATCGTTTATTCTTGTTTTGTGTTCAGAAACACGTTTATCAAACTATTTACGTATTTTGTGTCTCCCATACTTCTGTTCTCTTATTTTCTCCATTTCGTTCTTTAGAATCAACTCAATATTCATCTCAGTTATATAGAACCTGATTTATTATTATTTCTATTATTATTACTTTTCTTTAAATATGGCAGATATAATGCTAAGATTACTGAAACTTGTGTATTATTGCGTTTCTGGAGAAACCCGAACCGGTTTCTTCGCAACACTTATGTACCCACAAGATGTTTGTGAGTAATAATAATATATGTTCCTGATCCTACATTGCCGCGAACCAACTGACTGACTGACCACTACGCACAGTTTCCCAGCTAGATTATTTGGGGTTCACCCTTACTCTTTGTTGTTGCTCAACTGGTAAGTCTTTCATCCACATTAATATATCCACTTCAACCTCGACATTTCTTAACTTATTTAACGATCGGTTGTGAAGAACTCTTTCAAATGCTGTGTTGAAGTCAATGTAGGCTGGTTCTGTAGGTAAATTTTTGTCCTTAAGAGTTCACTAAATTTCACGAGCCACTAATAAGTTAGTGAGACAGGAAAAATCTATTCTAAAGCCATGTTCCTTTTCCAAAAGGATCCGGGTTTCATCGAGACACGTAAACAGATCCTTCCGAATTATCTTTTCTAAAATTTCAACAACCATGCTGGTTGGGCTAACGGGTTGGTAGTTCTCACGTTTGTGTTTCGTAGCTGTCCTAAAGACAGGACTTACTATGGCGTTTTCCAGTATTTTGGTAATCGACCCTGGGTTACGGACAAGTTGGAATATGTACTTAAGGGTTTCGAGACGAAATCAGCTAGTTCTTTTAGTAACCTACAATAGAATTCATCGGGTCCCGTGGATTCGCCTATGGCAAGCTTATTTAGCGGACCAAAGACATAGGGTTCTTCAATGGACACATTGTCTAGTGTGGCAGTGCAGGGATTTGTGTCAACTGACGGGAAGAGTGTCTCTACAGTATATACAGTGCCAAAGTAGTTTGCGAATACTTGAGTTCTACCATAGTCATCCTTCACTAATGATGAGGCATTGTCTCCCCATAGTGCTGGACTATTTCTTCACCTCTTAGTCCTTTGGTTTATGTACGAATACAAGCGTTTAGGGTGTTATGAGAATTTCTTAACACGTTTTTCTCTGTTCAAAATACTAAACATGCGGAGTATTGGGGCAACAATACTTCGAGCCTCTTAATATCGACATTTTGCCTCGTCAGTACTCACATTCTTTTACGGTTCGAACCTCCCTACTGAACAATGGTGGGGAGTTTCTTGAACCCCTTGATGTAGTCCAAGGGATATGGGTGCAGTAACGTTTAAGTATAAGTTTCGAAATATATCCCAGGTTGTTTCATTTGGAGACCCTGGTTCTATTACCAAATCTACTAAGGATGCTGAAAGTATAATATCTTGTTTATTTGCTTTTCAGACGTTAGATCTGGGTTGGGCTGAGGCGTGCTTGTTTTTGACATCTATATAGAAGTCAAGGATTAGAACTGTGATCAAGGTTTGTGACATCATTCTCATAATCGATCAATATAAGATCTAGTAGGGATGATTCAGAGGCCGGGTCGTACCTACTCGCTCCTTTCACATGTTGCACTAAAGCACATGTGATAACTGCACCAGGTGGTTCCTACTCGAAGGAATTTTCCGACAATTCAGTTCCCAAATTTTTTCAGTCTACGTGGGTGCAATAAAGTCCCATAGAATTAGACATCGATCACTTTACATCCAAGTATTGAGGCTGTCTAGAAAAACCTCATTTACTTCACAGCTTGGATAGCGGTAGATCAAACCAACCAGCAGCCATTATCCCTTGCATTTTGAGCGGTAACTAACTTATTCACACGTCTCACTCTTATGAGATACACTATCAATAATCGTAAATAAGATAGTAATTTTAATGATCAGACCTACTCTTCATTAACGCCCATGGATTCCATTGGCTCTTACAAAATCAAGTTCCATACTGTCTATAGACTGCGTCAGTCAAGTTTCTGTGACTGCAACTACATCCGGCTTGGTAGAGTCTCTCTGTTCACCTTGCTCCGATCGCTTGTTGGGCAAGCTCCGAACATTTGTGTAGCCGTCTGATTATCAATTAAATGGCTGCACCCAGAGCGCCTTCAGCATTAATCTCTATCAAGGCCACACAACCAAAAGATTTACAATATTTAGGTCTCCTACGCCAGCAACTAACCTAACTTTTAGTTCGTTATCAGCTTCTCGTCTTTTTAAACAGTCAGTGACAAATCCTTACGGAAAAACTCCTCAACCCTTTAGTTTGAGTTCATTCTGTAAAAGTAAGTCTCGTTCATTGGGAGACTTAAATACTACTTTGAGCGACCTGGACTGATTCTGTCTCGAGTTCGTTTGGCTACCCTACGTATACATCTATAGCAAGGGGACCCTAGCAACATCCTCAGGCATGAGCTGATTTTGGAGCTGTTTTATCAACCCAATATCATGCTCAAAACGAGTTTTGGGTTCCGGGCTTTCACTCTCCTTGATTTTATGAAAGATAACTGACCTGTCACCGTGATCAGTCTTTAATTTCTCGGCTACATTTATGCGGACTTGACTTTCTTTTCATAGCGCTATTCGTTTCTTGTTCTCAACCTGTGCCTATTTATCAGCTTTCGTGGGAGTAGCAACCTCAGTCGCGTCAAACACACTGTGGGATTCCGAAAGATCATCGATGACTTGGGCAGTAAGGTTGTTTTCCCTGCCAGAAGCAGATCTAGCATTGCGATTGGGATTCTTATGCGTTTCCTGATGACTACCATTTGGAGGACGGAGGACAGTAAAAAATTCCTATCTTGAGTTTTTATTCGGGATAATTATTATTATTATCATCATCAGCTTTATTCAATATTATATTTTCGGTACAATATAGGATTCTCAGCGTAATTATTTCAACAAGTTTCCGTTTCTTTCTTCTTGGTCGGTCCGGGCGATAAATATTGAGTGATCGCCAGTTAGATGTTAGCAGTTCAGCAAATGAACATCTGAATAATGTGCATTCTTTTCGCTGTATATTGCCAGCAACCACATTGTCTCTTATTGAGTTTTTTTGTAACTTTGACAATGAAAGGTTGTACACTTTTCAGAAACGCAGCAGAATAGGTCATGCGATTAATAAACATAATGATATATTAAAACCAACAAAAATAAATAACTTGTTGAAGCTCAAGCAGGCCGCCCTTTATTATTATAAACCTATTTGAAGTCAGTCATTTTTCCTTTGATTGATGTGTGAGCTGTTATCGAGCCTATTTGAGGTGGCTTCATATCAGTTTTTGTGTCGACAGAGCGATTTGTCCCATCTTCTTTTGCTAATATGCTTTTTAGCAGCATTTACCATTGAAGTGGTCTCGGTCAGCAAGTTCTTTGCATTTGAGCAGCACAAATCCATACGCAACAGTCCTCACAAAACCATTTTAAAGCCACAGGCGTTAGATCCGCGCAAACGTCGTGGTACCATCCTCTGCACTAGTCTCACTACATGCCTCTTTCAACGGGGTGTCGATGGCATAGGTGATGGCGATTGCTTTTCATGCATTGTACAGCAATCAAACAAAGGTTTTTATAACGAAACTAGATACTATAACATCCAGGGACAAAAGAAATTGATGACCAAAAGAAAGTGGAAAAATGTAAGTTGCTAGAACAAAAAGGGCCAACGAATATGACAGAAATAAAGTACTCAAAAGTACTAAGGACAAACTACTTTGGAACCAAAAACGATACTTTTAGAGAATACTTTATCTGAAATAAATTCAATTAAAACGTGAACGACAAAACTTTACTTTTCAAACTTTTTAAAGGGGAAGATCACAGCAAACCAACGGATTCGATATACTTATTATCTAAAACAAAAACTATTTTGTTTTGCCAGGTTGGGATATAACTGATAAGGCGTATGAGGTAAATTCATATGGTGTGAAATTCTAGGTCATTGTGTTTGATTACTAAGTTTTTCTAGACCTAGGTTCTAGTACGTTACTTTGGGTCACGGTATCTTTTTTATGATTTTTTAACTTCAAATAATTGAAACTCTTCGGAAAATTTTGATGTATTCATTTGGATATTACGTACCAGCGGGAGAATACCTTTTATACATAACTCAGTATTCCACTAGGCATATCAATTTTTGAAACACACGTTGCATCTGTCACATCAAGTTAGAAATTTCACGGTGCTATTGTGTATGGCTAGGATAATTAAATAGATTCAAGATATATTATTGTCACCGCGAAACAAGTTTACTGGTTAATTGAAATGCATGATGTTTCAACAAAGGAAATATCTTCGGAAAAACTATAGTCTTAGGCTGTAAATTCGTATTCACAGATGTTTTTTGCGTATAATATGGCGTAAAGTAAAGGAGTGTTAGAAAATTGTCAAAGGTAGTCAAACTTAAGTATCGATTGTAAAAAGACATGAAAATGAAGTGTTGTATGATTTAATAAAGTGATCAAAATTTACCGAAAGGACTCGTTTAATTAGTGTTGTTATCTATAGATGGGTTCCACTTCGAGTCGATTAAAATTTCCAAGCATTGATCAAAATTAGCGTTGCATCGTTTGTCAAAACAGCAAATAATTATCACGAAGTTATGTGGTTCTCTAGGAAGTAGTAGGGGACAATAATTTCTGCAAAAGATTTTAAAGATATATGTCTACTTCCGAAAGGTAAAGAAGTTGAAGAATAATATAATTAACACTTGTGATTTATAAAATTGGGATGGGTGCTAAGACCATTGAAGAATCAAGAACTAAACATGGCAGTTCTGCACATAGAGATCGGGTTTTAAGTAGCGGGTTGACAATACTGCAGCTGTGTACAAATTTCTTATCTAAATCTTCGAGCCAACTCGACTTCTTAGATGATCTTGAATGATGGTTCTCTCCGCTTACAACAGTTTAAGTTATCACCAATTATTCATCTTGTTTATGTAAACTATCTGGGTATTGTACTTAAAATGCCAAAGATCTTTGTTATTCTAAAATGTGGCTGTCTGAACTGATCCAATTTTGTGCCAGTTTCTACATTATGTTGTGTTTCTTATAAAAGGGAAATACACTATAGCCATTACTGACTTTAATGATAAAGCATTAAGTCACATTGGCTGTAGAATCCAACTGAAATATTTACGAACCGGATCGGCTAAGTAGTACAACTGCTCCTTATCAGTGTCAAATCATGGGGTAATAGCTTCCTAACCAATTCAATGTGCTTGAAAATGAGGTCACTAATGTTTCAGTCTTATAAAGTGCTGTAATTTAATGTTGTCAGTTTTCTCATTTTTAGATTTTCGTCAAGACTATGAGTATAAGAAACTCAGCAGGTGTTGGCTACGGTACACACGACTGTGAAATACAAACCCAAAGCACTGAGCTCGTTAGTAATCAGTTTCAGTCTTTCAATCCTACCGATGAATGCACAGATACGAGTTATATTCTGAACTCATGTAATTCATAATATGTTGTACGACTAGCTTATCAGATCCCAAAGAGCTTCAAAAAATATGTTGCAACATGTTCACCACCCCTAAATTTTGTGAATGGTTGAAGCATGAGTGGTTGTATTCGAGCATAGACAAGTATGTGGTTTTTATATCAACTTATATTTTCTTCAGGGAAATATTTCTAAGGGTTAATGACTTCCAGCTGATATTACGGGAATACTTTCCTACTTTAAAGTCTCGAAAGTTAAGTCGAGTTCATTGGTCAACTATTCGACGGATCATAGGGAGACCACGTCGTTTCAGTGCCACGTTCCTCTCTGAAGAACGGCACTCTGTGCAAGTAAAACGTAAAAATATACAATACATACAGCACATCATTTTAACAAGTTCTCTTGGTCCAATGGCGTCAGAACATTTAGATAATCTTTTATTATGCTTGCCACCAGCAATTCGAATTCCCCTTCGATTACCAGTTGGTATTAGAGTATGTGTTTGGTGAGTACATGTCATTTGTTTTAAGTCCATTTAGTCTTCACACTCCCATGCAGGGTTTATATCTTGGACTGATACAAAATTCGTGTCCAGGTGATGGACATTATGCTGTTTGGGTTGATGAGTTAATTATTTCAAATGATTACATGGAAATGAAATCTTCCAGATATTACGGCTGTCAAATTGTTCCAGAAGAAAATGTTTTTCCTTTACCAAATCAGTCGTTACCACCTTCTGTAACACTTTCAGAGATTCGCAGTTATTTTAAAGAAAATATAATAAACAGTGATGTCACTGTTTTTTCGTCTGAATTTAATACTAACTTCATAAATACCATGAATAAAACGGTCGAATCATCTAGTAATCGTTTACATTGTGTTGTTCGTAAGTAAATCTCCAAATAAGTCTAATAATTCATTAGAATCCTCACCTACTTGTGGACCTTTATTAAGTGAAAGTGTATGTGGTGCAAACCATATACAGATGAATAATTCACAAGTTTCATCAGGAGATCTTTTAATCCCAAAACCTAAATTTGATAATCCTTCTGTAATAACATCACCGTGTTCAGAACAAACATCTTCCCAGAAAACCGACTATCAGTCTTACAATAGATTTCTTATTAATATTGTAAGTTATTTGTTAAGTATATGCTTGTTCTTTTTTGTACTTTATAATCGCTTTTGCCGAGCTGTTAACTTCATTATTGAGTCATCTCCTTTTTTGTTTGTGAAGAAATAATAAGCTTGATAATCTTGTCATTGTTAAATGTAATAGCAAAATGTGGCTAGGTTTTGAGCTGTACTTCGTTCTCGGTAACTGTTTGAAGTATCGATAAAATTTTCGTAAATATTAGAATTCTTTTTCAATAAATGTTTAGAACTAGGGATAAGTTGGAAAGGAATCAGTGTACGTAATACTATGGAGTAATTTTAGCTCATTAATTTATACTCCTTTACTTGGTTTAATTTTAGAAAACTCTCATAGCAATTTGATTGTTTTATAAATTTACAAGGTAAAATACAGAAATTCTAATGACGATATGACAGTAGGAAATGATTGAAGGGCTAAATCAACCAAAATGATGCACAGAAAAGGTATATAAAATGAGATATCATTCATAAGGGTTTGTGCTTTCCCTTTGTTTATATTCAGGACTGAATTTCCGTGTCTCTATTGGAATATATGGACCCTGATTGGTTTCCTCAATATTACCCGCAGTTACAGGTTTTTATTGTAATTTTAGATTGTGGATATCAGTGGAATGCATAGTGTGCGTCTCATTCTGTCCGGGATAATGATTTAAAAATTTAAAGGTGGATAAGTGATAACAAAGCGAAATTGAGCCTTGGGCATCAGTACATCGAGTCAATTTGCTTCAGTATGGTAGTAGAGAACAAGAAAAACGAATATAAAATGAGTGAAAAGATTAAAGCAAAATAAATCGTGTGATAAGTGTCTAGGTTTAAGGGAAGATATAGACTGAATTAATCTCTGTCATTGTCATTTCTCTTGAACTCTATCACTAAGAATCTCCAAGTAAGGACTGTTTTTTCTAAATAGAATAGACTATTAGTTAGTGATTTCATGATCAGGTACTGTTATGATTTCTCATATTAAGTCCCAGCTACTCTTATTGCTTAGTAATTTTGGACACTGACTCACTCGACAAGTCTCCAAATCGAGACACTGTTGAATAGAGACGTAATTATATTCCAAATAACAAGGGTGGATGTAAATGGGAATCACAATATGAGAAATGTTAGTATATTTATAATTTTTACGTAAGAAGATTTTAGAGTCTTCTCCAAGTATCCTCTAACTGGTAATTTAGGAAATGGCCAACCAGCGTGCCCCAACATAATCCTGCATGGAACATGCTTTTATCTAATCGATATGCTGCTAGCAGTTGCGTAGTTTGATTTGGTAACCGTTATCCATTTTCCGATCTGTTTCGGCCGACTGCACTCAGCACTGGTTCACAACAATTAGATAACTTAACTTCTTCATTTAGTGATTCACCCATGAATATATGCTATTTAAATACAAAATATGAACATATGTATCTCCCCTCAAAGCCCTCAATAGGTCTGAACTGTTTATTGTCTTTACTTCCATGTACAGCATGTGATATACTTCATTTGTATATCCATCATTTGAGGGGAAGACCTTTACATTCATAAGTATGATGCTTCCATTGTCATTTCAGGAATTCTGTGTTGTACGAAGTACTTTTACATAAGATATGAAGGTTTGCTTTACACCTTTGAAAAAGCCGCGTTCTTAAATCACAAATTAAAACACGTTTAAAACCTAGAGACAGTTAAATTTTTCAGTGATGTTATGAAGCTTTCATTTATCCCTAATAACTTCCTTTATATTTTATGCTTATTTTGAAAAGATTAAACTTCACAAGATTTTAGAGAGAAAACGTTCATCAATTGAAACATTAAAACAATTAAATAATACTGCTGAAATAAAGGTAATTTTGTTTATCTGAAGTTATTAATCTGCAATTAATGTTCATCCTCAAAGCTTTCAGAAAACCAGAATTACATCACTGTACAATTTCAACATACTTATGCAAAACTCATATTAAATATAGATAAAATTAATCGAGAATTAAAACATTATATGAATCAAGTACTTCTATACGTGTCAACTGTAAGTTCACTTCTTTAAAATACAAATGTGACATTAAAATAAAATGACTTGTATGATTTAAATTTTCAGCTAAACATGTTTTCGTTAAATTTTGAAATTATTGCTTGGCAAAAAACATGGCTAATTGTAAACTATTCAATTTTGAAATCAACTATCCACTGTATATTCTTAAATATATGGGTAACATTAAGAATTTCAGATATATCGTCCGTCATGAAAAACAGTAAATTGTGCAAATGGATTTTTACTTTATCAGAAACTGATCTAAATAATAATTTTGAAACTGTCGGTAAAGTGTAAAACTGATTAATGTTATTGATTCTCTACAACGACTTAATGCATTCAGCAAAAGCTGGGATTTTTGTAACGACTGTCCAGCTTTATAGTCTACATCACGAACTGACTTTATTGAGACAAGCACTGAGAATCAGAAGTCAATGGACAGATTTTTTCCTAGCATTGTACTCCTCAGTAATGTGCCACTGGAAATTGAACCTAACACCTTCAGGTTGCGCGGTGTCTGCTTGTCTTTTTGTCCACAAAGTCAGCATCCAATGGTTCACACGTTTAACTTAGATTGATTCGCGAGCTGGTCAACTTTCTGATAAGAAATATGAAGATTCCAATTTGTTTTACTCATGTGTACTAGGAAATATATTATTTCATCGTTCTCCAAATACAAATCTGGTGATTTCGAATTCACTATTTTCCATGTTAATGTAGTAATCCATACACCAAGTATAGGTTCATGTTCTTAACGACATCTGAACCTGGAACCAGCCGGTTAAATGCTGAGTAGTATAATCTCTAGGCCACCCTTTCCGCTTTCCATATTACTTTCTGATGTTTTTTAATCGTTTCAATTTTGAAACTTTGTAAATGTATTATTCATTAACGCTTATTTGCATTGTTTTTTCCCTACACTTTATTAATTCTTCTTGTTTTATGGTTTTTAATGGATGTTACAAATTAAACTAACACAAATGTATATTAGCTTCTTTGTCTTTTTTCTCTTTTGAATTCTCGCATTTTAAAACACAGTCGAATGGGCTACTATATATAATTTCATCATGTTAGGATTATGAATAATCTTTGGTGCTGTATTTGTTTTACATTTATTCAAGCTATATTTCACGTCATTTTTCCGTAATTTTAAAACAATATTAGCGGTCTCTGACTTTGTGGAGCGGTTGGCTCATTGGTTAAGGTGTCCGACTTTCAACCATTACGTCACAGATTCGAAATCCACCCCACCTATTTCGGTTTAGGCAACCAGGTAATATCATCAGCCCCAACATTTGATGCGTCGCTTGACATCACCTGCACGAATCTGTACCTGGTAGTGAGATAATAATAACAGCAATCTCGGGTCCTCCATCCATAATTTGGTTTCTGTAATGTATGTGGTTGTTTTACTCAGCCCTTTACTCATTGTTGCCATGATGTTAATTAATCTATTCATTTGCCATATGTTCTTCTTTAGAAGTTTAACAAGTAGAGTAATAAATCAGAAAAATGTACTCGATAACCAAACATTAACCATGATCGACGTTTCCTGTTTTTAGGTTTTTAAATGTCCCTAGTTACTCCTAGATTCTTTTACAGTCGATAGGTGTTACTCCTCAAATCTTTTAGGTCTGTCAAACCCTATTTAATCCTCAATATAATATGTTCAGATAGGTAAAACACACTTTAATTTGTTTATATTAATGAACGTTTCACTCCAGATGTTAGGAACTACTTCGTTTGTCCTATCTACATTCACTAATACGAATCAATTTCTTCCTGAAAATAATGATTTGAATGCAAACTTCGACTATACAAATAATGTGGCTGGTTTTCCGATAGTTTTAACGAACTATTTGTTCGTAAACTCGTATTGTACGATTCACCCAACAATTACATTGGTTTTGAGTCACTTATCCTAAGTTTTACCAACACATCCACCTTGCACAGCTACAATTTTCATGATGTAACCGTTATGTCCACCGATACTATGTTTCTTCTGTCTGTTTCCGAACTAATGTCAGTTTTGTTTAGTCTCTATTTTCCATATCTTCTTCGTTTCGGACTTATTGCAGTGCACTGTACAATCGTCTTTCTGCATTTTATTTTCCTATAGATAGCACAAGAACATAACATGGTGGAATTAAATTCCGTTATCGACTGGAGACGTCGCTGTGATGATGAAGCTCAAGAAATAGTTAATCGGATGAAAGAATTACAAGTAATAAGTTTTTGAAATTGTTAGAAAGAAAATAAGTAATCTGGAAGTTAAGATCATTCAAAAAACATGAGTCTAAATACATAAAACAAGAAAGATTGGTTTAGGAAAACGTTGGACTTCTTGGTCGAAAACTGGGTTAAAATCGTTTGTCTGATTAGCTAAGTTTTCGAACTAAATATGTGTGTAAATTTTACTGACTGTCCCGAACGTATTTGCTACCTTGACATAATAATTAGGCTTACCTATAGTAATGTCCAAATCCAGTTGAAAAGGTGATTTTTGACATTGAAAGCAATCTAGTGGGTTTATACGTTGTTCTGTGGAAACTATTGAAGTTAATGCAAAAATTAACTTGCAAAAGGGATAGCATTAAAAACACTAAAAATTGTTACTGAAAAGTACTGTCAAAATCATATCGATCCAAACTCTTAGTCACTCAAGCGACACAAAATTGTTGATTCTATCTGTTCACACGTCACGGAGCTAAAGTAGGAGATTATAGCAACGCTCTTACGATTAGTTTCGATTTTGGTTAGTTTTGGTCAAACTTATTTAACAGACAATGTTATTCGGACAGTAACAACTCGTCTATTTCTTTGTATTATTATGATCATTATCATATATGTATAAACCTTTACGCTTGATCACATGTGATAACCCACACACACATCTCTCTCTAGCTTAAATATTTCTCGATGAATCATTATCTTTCCAATGTATATATATGCTCGAATACTATTAATAGCCTTTGGCTTGCCTAGATTCGATTTGACTATAAACTCGCTTCTGTATTCGCTAGCACACAAACATTAGCCTTTCCGCTCCAAATTCGCTCGATGTGCTTATAACTTTGTTATCTGTGCTATCCGCTAATAAATTATAGTCGCCGCCTCTTATTGCATTCTGAATTTATGTACTAACGGTTATCAAGGTGATTAATTAACGAAGCTAAGTCACTACAATATATCACAAAGGTTTCATGTATCGGATGACATGTCACCGACTAACCTTTGGACTTCAAATGTGTTTCGTCGCAATTACCGATATGTGCCCAAAACTTGCATTCAAATCTTATTAAAAGCCTGAAAGCTTCAGAAACGTAGTATACATTTCTAAATAATCCTGAAAAAGTGTGTTCTGTCATTTTTTAAATATTCTAATCAGCTTTAGATCTGAAAGCCCTATCTATGGGGATAAAATTGTGCGAAGTAAACCACCCGACCGTTGCTGCAACGTTGACGTGGTGGTCGGGCTTGTCTATCGTGATGAATCGACCGAGCTATACTGACTGGAATAATCGTTCCTCGAGGTCCTACCATACCAGACAGGTCGGTTGAAGAGTGGTAAGATCACAAGTAGTAAATCCGAGGTCGTACTGCTGACTACAGAGGTGTGACGGCAGTAAGTTGTTTCCTGGCAACGAGCATGATAGCGATGCTGCCTTCCCATAAGGAATGGTGGGGTTAAAAAAGGTCAACCCCAAAAATGCACACCTCACCTTATCCCTCGCATTTACGTCTCCGGTGAAAAAGTTCCAATAAGTATGTTGTTAACACGTAAAATACCATATACTCACTAGTGACCAGCTTTGTGAAGGAATTCTCGGAGTTCTGATGTGAAGCCGTTACTAGTGGAGCTATTCCGTGTCGGGTAGAAACAGGTATCTACCTCAGTACAATGGCAGATGGTCACGTAATTTCGTGGATTGGTCGAGGTTCGACACACACTGTTAGATGCTGGCTCAGTGGTCTAGTAGGTTGAGCATTCGCGCTCGAGACCGAAGGCCCTGGTTTCGAATCCGGCGAGCGGGTTCGTGGGTGCACACTGCTATAGAGTCCCACAATAAGGCAAAGCGACCGTCCAGTGCTTCCAGGTTTTCTATGGTGGTCTAACTGAAATCGGTTCATGATCTCGATCAATAAGTTGAAGATCTCCAAAACCCTATTCTGATACTCACATAAAGGTCGTGTGTTACCGACCTCAAGCAGTTGTCCCTTAGGCGCCGCGGTCACACTCTCAGGTCACTAAAACCACCCCTAACCGAATTTCTTTCTCTGGTGCCTCCAGAAGAACCCTCCCACGGTGTGGGCAACTGGAAGTGATAACTGCCATCATACCTCTAACAGCACAAATTCAAAAATTCACACACGTTCATTTCGATAACCTAATCAATCAGAGAAACGATCTTAATCCAATTCCCAACTAGGGATTCAAATGTTATGCTGAACCAATTTTTTTGCTGTTATGTCTCAAAGGCTATAGTCGATTTATATCCTTTATTTGTTGGATGTCATGTTTGGATGTTAGTTCGAAAGACAGATCTGGTAGTTAACATTAAATGTTACTACAATGATACTTCCTCTACGTACACTATCATAACAGCTAACTTAAAATCATATATTTTTTAGCTTTATATTTTGTATATATATGTAATTGCTTATTTGATAACATAGTAGTTTATGTCTAGTATTCAAGATCAGAAAGTGAAGTTCAATTCGTTCAAATCCTCTACGAATTCATGTTCATCATTATTGTCTTCGGTGACAGAACATCGGGTCTGATTTCAATATATCATTCAACATACCAAATGATCCAGGATAATATCTACATACTCCGTACCTTACAATCAATCTAGGCGATGATGCGGACCATTCACAAAGAAGCATTTTGCACTTAATGCAAGAAACACACGTCTTGAACATACCTATATTGTTACTCAAGTTTTTGAGTAGACTCTGGATTTTATCCAGATCTTCCCACGAAGATCACATCACCTCTTTTTTAAAATTGCACTCGATAAGCTGGAGTGCTTCAATTAAGCTATTTTATGCTTTTTAACCAACATTAACAGTAATTCACCTTGCGATAGAAAGCTAAAGTAGTTTTTCATTTTGTTCATTAAACCATAAAAATTTCTTTTCAGACATACAAATTAATTGATGAAGACAAATTGGATCTTGTTGCTAAGCTTATTTCTATTCTCATACATTTAAGTGTAAGTTAAAATTTTAATGAATATAAAGACTATTCATCATAAAAATAAAATATAGAATTTATCTGATCATCGGTACATGAATCAAATCCCAGCGTGTATTGACGACATTCTCAAAGAGATTAAACATGGTATTCACCCAAATAATTTGAAGTAAGAATATTCAATGAATTTGTTACATGTTTATTGCTTGTATTATAGTGTTTTTTTATTAAAAGAAGATTGTGACAAGTTTTCAACCTATCTATGTATCAATCAGGTTTTCCGAATACCTTCACACTTAGTGTACATTTGCTACTCACTCACTCATACTTTCTTCATTGAATAATTGTGTCAGTCAGTCAGCTACAACGTAGGACCAGGCACATATATGCATCGGTTTAAGTTACCATACCTCATTAGCACAACAAGATGAACACCGGATTCATAGAAGTAGTTAATTCAGTGGTGCTAATATATAAAAGAAAGATTGCATATAAGTACATAGTACAGGAAGAAAGAATTGGTCCTTAGGAATATATGAAGCCAATTTAATCTCATAGTTTAAGGAAAGACAGAGAGTACATACATCTACTCCATTGTGATCGATTCTGAACCATGTCACCCACAGTCTCTAACCATTGGTTACGATAGTCACACAGACCACAACCAAGTAGTTTGCATCTACCAACATGGCTCAGACTAGAAGTTAGTGACTTCAAGGACTGATGCCACGTTTTGATTGATTTATTTAAACACATAAACATTAGTAAAAGGAGGCACCAAGTAGATATGCGCCACATAAATCATTTGATTTGTGTGAGAGATGTGATACTGCTCGGGTGCTCAGACCGAAGCAGGTGGTTTTCTTAGGGGGCCACACCCGGAGTCTTTGACCTAAAGATCTGATCCACAAGGCAGTGGAGCATCGTGTGGAGATGCAGTCCCATGGTAGCCAGTGACCAACGATTGGTTCATACGCCATTTTTCCCGCAGGATACTAGAGCCCATGGGCACCATTGGTTTCGAATCCGGTTAAAACGCCAGATATTCGCTTTTCGTCCTCTCATTTTCGTAAACAACACCTCCGCTACGAGAAGGCAGTGAGTAGGACTTCTCTGGCAGAGGCTGTATACGTGTGAGAGAATTTCGAGAGGGAGGGCCCACCCCACCCAGGGCATTTGGGGCTACGTTTTGATTTGGCTGCCCCTAATTTACTTTCAACCATCCTCAACACTAGTCAGCATTGCGCGTTATGGTAATTGTTTAGGCATACGTAACACGTGGCCCAACCATCTCAGTCGATAAATAATTGTATCGCTATTTTTTTTTAATATTTTATTACAGATGTTTTGAATCTACAGTGGAAAATTTTATTGGACAAATTATAAATCCAATTACAAATACTGTCTATTCACGAATGTATCAATATCCTATGATATCGAATTCACAATATTCAGACAATATTTAATATGTCAAATGTTATTTCCTTTTTTGGGGGCGGCAGGGGAGGGGCTAATTTCTCTTGTTCTATTTATTTTCATGTTGATTTTGAGTTCATTATTTGTTTGTTTCTTTTTATTTTTTTATTTTTAAAAAACTATTTATTATTTAAGAGGATCAATTTCTAAATAGAATACTATCTGATTGTGTAATGTATTTCATAATGGTTATTGTATTTTATTGAACATATGATATGTTTCAACAATTAATGGTTTTTATGTTTTAAAGTTTTTTGTCAGTAAAGAAATTGTAGTAAATTTAACATCACATTGTTTTGTATATATAAAAAAGATAATGTTATTATAATTAGGATATATCTTATGGTTAATTCATTTGTCAGTCAGTTATATACTTGAACTCTTTTTCATTTACTGTTGTATCAATAGTAATGAAGTCATTTTTAGCTTTTACATAATATCTCTACCAAATTTAGTAATGTGAATATAAAAATTTGTACTCTATCGATAAAACTAGTTTAATCAACTGTTATTTCAATTCAGAATCTCTCTTCATACACCCAACAGGTTATCTACTGAATGTCTCGAATTCCACTGCCAGCTATTCTATAAAACTTGTAAAGAATGGTTATTTTTAGGTAATCCATTCAGGACCTACAATGCCAACAGAGACTAGTCGAGATTCAGTCCTAAATATCAACAATATGAGAGTTTAAACTTATACTAACTAAAAACAATATACCCGTTGATCAAATTAGTGCGTACGCCAATTCACTAGCTTGTTTAAAGCGATATATGGTGGATTCGAGTATCGACGTAAGCATCAATTTTGGGTTCGAGTACTTCCAACTGACGAGTTACAAATAGCGTGAGACGCGCGTGCTGGATTCCACTGTTTATGTACTTCTTGTTTAGCCATTATCTGCTTCCTTGAGGTCCGTCGGATAATTGAGAGGTTGTGTTGATCACATGATCAGATGTTTAATGTGTACATGATACCTCTATTTGTAACAATTATGAATTAGTCTGTTAGTCCTGTAAGCAGAATTCGAAACGATTGAAGATGTTCCCAGTGTGTCACAATACACAGCACATACCTTATGAAATGAAAGGCGTATTCTCGAAGTTCTAGGTTACAATTTAACGCCAATTCAGCGTGTGCATAAATATTCTGGGTGTTATTGAGAAGGCATATAAAAACTCTACATCATTCTCACTTCAATTTTTGAGAAAATTTCAACTGTCAAGATGCCATGTAGATGTGAATCATGTAAAATAACAAAACACTATTTGGTAAGGAAAAAATATCTTCGATAATATACAAAAACCCGTCGAAAAATAATATCACCATGAAGAGAAGTCAGTTAACTGTGACTTTAATACAAGTTTCTGCTTCTTACGTAAAACATCTTCATTCATCTGTAGACTAGAATCAATATCTTTACCGTGCTTATTGGTGATAGCTTTAGTGTCAAATTGATCTACATCATGAATAAATTTACCAACACCTGTTCGATAAACTTGTTTTGCAATTCCTGAAAGTAAATCATAATGATATTTATAAATAGTCATATATTTAGAAGAACAGACGGCAAACTATGGGAAAATTAGTGACAAAATCTATACAGTAGTATAGGGGTTGTGGAGATTATTAAGTTTTTGATTGAGATCATGAACCGATTGATGTTAGACCACCACAATTGAAAACCTGGAAGCACTGGACGGCCGTTTCGTCCTATTGTGGGACTCCTCAGCAGTGCGCATCCACGATCCCGCGAGCGGGATTCGAACCCAGGGCCTTCGGTCTCGCGCGCGAACGCTTAACCAACTGGACCACTGAGCCGGCATCCAATGGTGATAGTTTCTAACATCAACCAATCCACGAAATTGCGCGACCAACTTCCGTTGTACTGAGGTAGATACCTGTCTCTACCCGACAAGGATTAGCTCCACTGGTCACGGCTTCTCACTAGAACTCCGAGAATTCCCTCACGAAGCTAGTCACTAGTGAGCACATGTTGATTACTAGTATGATCTCAATCAAAAACTTAATAATCTCCACAACCCCTATACTAGTAATCAACATGTGCTCACTAGTGACTAGCTTCGTGAGGGAATCCTCGGAGTTCTAGTGAGAAGCCGTGACCAGTGGAGCTAATCCTTGTCGGGTAGAGACAGGTATCTACCTCAGTACAACGGAAGTTGGTCGCGCAATTTCGTGGATTGGTTGATGTTAGAAACTATCACCATTGGATGCCGGCTCAGTGGTCCAGTTGGTTAAGCGTTCGCGCGCGAGACCGAAGGCCCTGGGTTCGAATCCCGCTCGCGGGATCGTGGATGCGCACTGCTGAGGAGTCCCACAATAGGACGAAACGGCCGTCCAGTGCTTCCAGGTTTTCAATTGTGGTGGTCTAACATCAATCGGTTCATGATCTCAATCAAAAACTATACAGTAGTGTTTAATTGCTTGATTTGTACTCATATTTTCTATATCAACCTTATGTTCCCATTTGCTTAATTAGGAGTAACTGGATTTTTGTAGTGATATAATATAAAGCTAGAATTAGGAGGAGAATCGTCTTTCGTTAACACGGATTACATACAGTTATAGGTTTTTGTCATATCAAAAGAGTAAACGTGCCCATAACTATTAATACGATTTCCACACATTTGTGTTATTTGTACAAGCGAGGAAGGCTTGCGTCATATGATCGCAGCCGCACCTTGCGATCCGATCTTCAGACTAAGCATTATGAATGCAAGCTTTTGGTAAATATGAAGAATATAAATTGTCTGCTACTGGTATAACTTCATACCAAAGGGATTCTCAAATGGGTTAAGGTTACTTGAGCGTGGTTTTGTCGAGCAGGTGGGTTGTGTTCTTTTTCATGAATTAATTTTTTTGTTTGATTATCCATCTATTGTTTATCATCTCTTCCTCATGTATGTATAAATCGGATTTACTCCAGACCATCCATCAGATTTGGATGGGAAAATGCAGATACATAAAACGAGAGAGATTTCCAGAAATGTAGCGTCCAGGTGAGAAGTCAGTCAGCTAGTGTGTTGCAATAGATCCAGTCTGTACACTAACAAGAACTCAACAATCCAATTACGAAATTGCTTCCAGCTAATGGTATTAACATCGCTTTTCCTAGTCAAAACCATTACCACACAGAGCTGTTTCGCTCCATGGTGATTGGAACTCGAAATCAGGCTATTTACTGAGGGTTTATCAGCTTTATTCACACATAAATTTTGTTTTGGTGGGAATTTAAGTGAAACACCGGCTCATTGAATACTGAAAAAAGTTAATCATCAAAAGCTAGAAATTATTTCTGGAACGTTCACGCCAAGTTGTATTTTTCCCTTACAAAAATAACATTAGTCCCCACTACTACGGTATATGCCAACGGTGATTGCCCTGCTTAAAACTCCTATCCAAAACTTCCGATCACGACACGAGAAAAAGTAGTCAGTGTATCTTATATTATTCGTAAAAAACTCAAATGATTGTGTCACGTCTTTTGTGAGCTGTGAGTGGTTCGCCGGCGAAGATAGGAAGGCCGATTCTACGATTTGTATCAAGTCTTTATATAACTTCGATTTTTACTCTATATACACTGTGTGAGCTGCCTATACTTTGAGTGAATAAATTATTCTTCTCCGTAATCTTGTTTTCAATCTCTGGTTGTAAATCGTGTATCCATGTACAATGTGATCTAGTCTAATAATTTAATAATTTGGTATGGTGGTCTAGGGTGCCCAGCCAATTATCTTGCATACTGTACATTCATATTAATAGATAGCGAATAATTTACTTGTTTTTTTATAGCAGTTCCAATATTGAGTAACAGGTATATAATTAATTAGCAGTTGGTTATGAGCGGTAACAGAGATATCAACAGTTGATGAGTTGAATGGAAGCTTATATTAGGATAAACACACGTTAAAAATATAAACTGAATCACAGGAGAACAGTCCCCGAAATGTTATCTTTTTCTATTAACTCGACAATTTACAACAACACTAATGTGTAAGATCGGAGTATTATTCTTCAATATCCGTATTAATAGTTTGAAGCTGGCCATTTGGCTAAACAAGAAAATAATCGCGCCTTTAGAATTAACAACTCAGAATACAAGTAAACGGCTATGTGCTTTTTATCACTGCTAATTACAAGAGTCCTCTAGCATTTTGCGACAATTAACTGGGTTTTTTTCCACTAAAACTCCATTGACGATAAGCGGAAAACTATACTATATGAATGACGGCTAAATGGCGATAGACCAAACACAGCAACTGTTTACACAAGGGATGATTTTATCTATTTTAGTGACTAAAGAGCATCAAATTGTGGATATCATATGAGAATAACAGTTTTAGTAGCCTAACACATATTCGGCGCAGTAACACTTACCATCTTGTTTGTTGCGTTTAGCACGTTCAGCAGCTTCCAGAGCTTCCTCCTCCCGGCGATTACCTGGCTTCGGATGTACGTTTTTATCAGCGTTATCCATGTTTATTTCTTCACTGTAATTAGCACGTTCTTTACTTAACATTTCATCAACATCCTTGAATGGATCGACGTAAACTTCACAATTTATGATTTGTATATCTTCCTAATTAAAAATAAGATATAACCAAAAGACAATATCTGTTCATCCAATCAGAAAAGTTGAAATGATGGGTAATTAGCAATATATTAAACAGATACGATTATATAGAGCTATACTAAGTTCTTCACTAAATAAAAAATCTCACAACTCCTTGTGCTCTTAGCTCAGAGTAAGTTTTTGTATGCAAGGCAGTGATACTGTTCATTTGCAAAAACCGGACGAGGTAGAAAGATGTTTGAGATGTATCAACAAAACTTCTGGAAAACATGAGTACATTTTTGATACTCAACAACATTTATACACGTAAATCTGAAAAAATGTCCGATTAGGTTGACTCCAAAGCTTTTTATTAGTATTTTATATTGAAATGGTTCAGTAAACATGATGTTTCGTTGGGACATATGCTACCTGCAAATGT